ATTTTGAAGGCATGTTGTAGAGCCTATTTGGTATCTTTTATAAGCTCTACATTGTCCCATGTTATAAGCATGTCATCCACATTTATTAAGACCACAATGATGTCTTTATTTGACTCTTGATGAACAACGAGTGATCATATTTACTTTGGAAGAATTCGAACCTCAGTAAGGCCTCTCTTAGCTTTGTATTCCATTGCCTTGGGGCTTATTTAAGCCCATATAAGGATTTCTTGAGTCTACATACCTTGTTCTCCCCCTGACTCTGGAATCCTTGAGGTAGTGTCATATGGATTTCATCATTGAGATCTCCTTGAAGAAAGTCATTGTATACATCTATTTGATGTATATGTCAGTGTCTTGCAGCTGCTAAGGATAGAATAGACCTTACTGTAACCATTTTTACTACTGGAGAGATTGTTTCTTGATAGCCGATCCCTTCCTTTTGGTTGTATCCCTTTGCCACTAGCCTGACTTTCTCTCCATTTTCCTGGTACTTTATTTTGTATATCTATTTGCATCCGATGGGCTGCTTTCCTTCTGGTAAACTAGTAATCTCCCATGTGTGATTGTTCTAAAGAGATTCAATTTCAGATTCCATTGCCTTGATCCAGTGTGGATCCTTGGAAGCATGATCATAGGACTGTGGTTCACTATTAGAAGAGAAAGTTGTGAGAAATGTTTTATATCCCGGTGACAGATTGTCATAATTGACATAGTTGGTAATTAAATATGGTGTGTCTTGATGAAGGCTAAGAGAGATGAAATCTTTCATCCAGATGAGAGGTTGTTTACCCCTACCTGATCTCCTTGGTGGTTCAGTTAACTGAGTGGTCTGTATATCTGTGGAGATGTATAACTCTTTTGTGTAGGTTGAGACACTTGGTTCATAGGCACTGCAAAGGTGTTGCGACTTGACAGTGGACAACCTGCAGTAGGTATAACATTGTCAGTGGGTATAACATTTTCCATATGATGATTAGTGTTAATGCCTAAGCCATTAGGAACAGTAAGACTTAGAACACTAATCTCTTCATAGTTATTCCCTGTCAAATTATCTACAAACACAGGTTTAATTGAGTTATTCCATTTAAAAGGAAACTCATCTTCCCTGAAACTCACATCCCTATTAACAATGAAGAATTGATTATGAACATCATATAATATATAACCCTTTTGTACCTCAAAATATCCCACAAGTACAGAAGCTATAACTCTTGACTGTAACTTATGAGTTTCTGTCACATTCTTTGCATAACATAGACAATCAATCACTTTAAGATGTTGAATATAAGGTTTATGATTATACAATTTTTCATAAGGTGATGAACCAACAACAGAAGAGGGTAGTCTATTAATTATATACACAACCACTAGAGCACAATGTCCCCTGAAAAATATTGTATCACCATGCACACATCAGACTTCAATTTTAATAATACCCAAGTCATTCTAGTAAAATCATCCACTATTGTCAGGAAAAATATATTGCCATCAAAAGTTTGTACTTTATAAAGACCCCAAACATCCATGTGAAGTTGTTCAAAGCTAGTAGTACTTTTAATACAACTAGAAGGAAAAGGCAATCTATATTGCTTTGCACATGCATAGACACTAAATTTTTTAACAGTGTCATCTATATCCTGAAGTCTAGCAGGTAATATTTTATGTAAAACTGAACTAGACACATGGCCAAATCCTTTGTGCCATAGGCTTATATCTTCTTTGCGAGTCGGATTTTCTCCGTGAGCTCTTCGCTTCTTCTAGTAGACTGACTGACTAAAAGATACAAACCATCACATTCTTTACCAATCTCCTTCACCTGTCCATTGAAGAGATCCTGAAATACACAAAAGTCAGGAAAAAAAGTGACAGAATATTGCAGATCTCTGGTTACCTTTGATAAAGTTGTACTTAAACTGAGATAGAAAAAACACATTGCTTAGAGTATTATTAGTTGATATAGAACTTGAACCAATGTGAGTAACAAAGCAATATATCCGTTGGGTAAGAATACACTCTTTGGATTTGGAGTTTTAACTATCGAGGCTTTATTTAACACATCAACATCTGACACCATGTGGTTTGTTGCTCATGTGTCAATAATCCAATCTTTCAAAAATTTGACACCAATTAAGCTTTACTACTACTTATAACTGTTTCATTACCTGCTGCATTTGCACATGAGACTTGTGTTGTTGAATTGTCTAGTTGAATGTGTTTTATCAACTAAACAATCTGACCATACTGCTCTTTAGTGAAACTACAAGCTCCTGCCTGAACCATCTGTTGCACCGGGATAGATTGATTTCCAGGATTCAGCCCTGTATATTGTTTGTTTTCCTGTTCCTCATTAGATGCAACACTGAAGTTCCCTGTAATCAGATTATATGCAGCAGACAAACCTGCTCCCCCTTTCTTCTTGAACCTAGAGTAGAATCCTGAGGGTAACCAACCAATTTGTAGCAGTTTTCCTTGGTATGGTTCTTCATTTTACAAAACTCATAGTAAAGATTATACTTCTTTTTGAACTTTTGAGAGTTTGCCTTTGAGTACATGACCACATTATCAGGCATTGCTCCTAACAGACCAGCCGGATTGCTTGTGACAGCCTTTTGACTTTCATCACCAATTATCATGGCATAGGCCTGATTCACAGATGGCAATGGTGTCATCAACAATATTTGACTCCTAGCTTGTAGGTAGTTATCATCCAGTCCCATTAAGAACTGATAGAGCTTTTGCCTCTATAGAGGTGTAAAGACCCCTTTTATACACTGAGATGAATTATCTCTATAACTACCTCTAACAGCATGTGTAACTAACTTCTTGATAGTGTTAGTTAGTCTTAACAGCTTAACTAATTACATAGGGAATTTGCTAAAATACACTCTAGGAGTTCTTTCCCTCGACACAATTTTTCTCCTATCATTTCTCATGATATTTAAGCAATAGCATTTCAGTTTCGTATTATTGAAGTTTGCTCGATCCGTTCAATTGAGACCTTGTAATCTGAAAATGGTTGTGGATACAGATAAGTATCCATCTTTTTGCAAACAATTATTCAGACAAGGTTTCATAGGTAAAATAGAGTCTACTATACTTTTTCCTTTCATTACATCTTTTTATTTTCTTCTATGGTGTAACTTGATAATTTGATTTCATTTTTTTTTAGCTCATGCCGCCTGTTTTCATCAAAGAAAACAAGAAGATGCTGGCCAAGACTTGCTTATTGAAAACAAATGTAGTTGGAATGTCGTGTGAATCAAAGATCATGAGATTTAATCCAACTACTTCATATGCGAAGGAGATTGGCCACAATTTGTGGTGCATCATAAGTTGGAGATAGGGGACATTTTGATCTTTTTTCTCATTGATAAATCAACGTTCCAAGTCCTGCCTTACACTCAGAAAAGTTTCAAAAACTCATCTGGCAAAGGAGAATTTCAGGAGCACAGCAGTTCCTCGGAAGAGGAACATGACGTTGGAATCGCTAGAAAATTGAAGAAAATTAAAATGGAGCAAAACTTATCGTCAGGGAAGTGTTACTAGTAATCTCCAAAATAAGAAACTTATTCTTTACACTTTACAGGTGTTGTAGAAGAGGAAGAAGTTGAGGGAGGAAATGATGAAAATTTTCCAAAGACTACCAGATTCAGTGTGATCAACATAAACAACAAAGATCCATACTTTGAAATGGTTGTAAGAAGAAAACACTATAGTTTAGTTGCTAATTATATATCAATTGTAGTTATATGTAAAAGATGGTTTGTTTGTTTTTTAGCTTAGCTGGTCATTCAAATCTATGGACGAAACTTACCTGACCACCGAAATATATTTTTGGAGTTCGTTAGAATGTGTATTGCGACTAAATCACAGCGTTTTTTATTTGATTGTCCATCATTTCCCATTTATACAACTATTTGAGATTTCACAGATACGTAAATCAATTAGAATATTCTTCATCAGCCATTGGCATATTAATACGACCATTGATACATCAATTTTGATTGTCTAAGTAGATGTTTTGAGTTACATTTTGACATAGCCCTCTTGTTTCTGTTGCTACTAACCAAAGATGCAGAGATGCAATGAAAGTTCAGGTGCAAAGGAAAAGGTTTGGATTAGATTCTTTAATCCCTGCCTCCTGGAAACAAGCAGGATTTTTTTTGGATTCATGATTGAATGTTTCTTCTTTGAATCTATATATGCAAAGAGGTTCCTTCCGATAAAGACTCGATTCTTTCAAGACAAATAACAAAGTTCAAATGGAACAGCACCTTAACATGATATTGAACTAAATTTACAAGCAAGACATTGAAGATAATCATATGAACGATACCCACAACCTTAACATGATATTGAACTAAATTTACAAGCAAGATATTGAAGATAATCATATGAACGATACCCACAACCTTAACATGATATTGAACTAAATTTACAAGCAAGATATTGAAGATAATCATATGAACGATACCCACAACCTTAACATGATATTGAACTAAATTTACAAGCAAGCTATTGAAGATAATCATATGAACTATACCCACGACCTTAACATGATATTGAACTAAATTTACAAGCAAGATATTGAAGATAATCATATGAACGATACCCACAACTTTAACATGATATTGAACTAAATTTACAAGCAAGATATTGAAGATAATCATATGAACGATACCCACAACCTTAACATGATATTGAACTAAATTTACAAGCAAGATATTGAAGATAATCATAGGAACGATACCCACAACCTTAACATGATATTGAACTAAATTTACAAGCAAGATATTGAAGATAATCATATGAACTATACCCACAACTATTGAACTAAATTTACAAGCAAGATATTGAAGATAATCATATGAACTATACCCACAACGCTTCTACCTAGCAGGACGATGTCAAAATACACAACCAAAAGAAACCATACTACCTAGCAGGACCATGTCAAAATACAACCAAAAGAAACCATACTACATACATACATGTAGCTAGAGCAAGGAATGGGGTTTGTAGATCTTTTGAACCTGTAAAACATTATTGGCACTACCTTTTCCCCAAATCAACTTGAAGCGATAAGTCTCACCAGTGGTTATCTTGTTATGAGTCTTGAATTCAGGCCATCCACGTGTTATGCGAACACACCCTTGTCTACGTTCTATAAACACTTCACACTCCTTGCCTTTCCCATTATCCAGATTCATTTTCTTCATGCCAATTAGGCCAGCCCATCTCACGAAGTCCACTGGTATAGTCTAATAAACACATTTGATCAAACATGTTTTCAGAGGAAACTAAACGCATAAAAGAATTTAAGAGAATGGAAATTGTTCAAGTTTACCATAAAACTTGAGTGTGACTTTTTTATAACCATTTCATAGTATGGATCATTGCTGTTTAAGTTCACCACACTGAATCTAATCTTCTTTGGACCATTTTCTTGGTTTCCACTCTCAACGCCCTCCTTTTCAGCAACATTACCTGTCTTTCACTCCCAAGTTAAACTCATATAAAATTGGACAGAGGAAGTAGTAAATAATTGTCTATTGTAGTTTGTATCCATTGGATTAAACAAACCAAATTCATAACATTACCCGACGATCCTGTTGGCTCTGTTTTAACTCTCTTAGAGTTTCTTCCAATTACGTCCTGTTTTTCTCCAGAAGAAGTGCTGAGTTCTTCAAATTGCTGGTTGTTCCTATGGCTTTTTTGAGTATAGGCAAGCACTTGAAATGTGGATTTATGAATGAGAAAAAATAGCAAAACATCACCTAGTTGCAGTTGGTGATGCACCACAAATTGTGTCCACTCTCTTTCACATATGAAGTAATTTGACCTTTTTCTCACTATATTTGTTTCCCATGACATTCCAACTACATTCGATTTCAGTAAGCAAGTCTTGGCCAACATCTTCTTGTTTTCTTTCATGAAACCAGGCGGTATTTGCTATAAATTAACAAATCAATTAAGCAGGGAGTAGTTTATTGGACAAAAAGAAAAAGTAAAGAATAAAAGATACTAGTAGAAAACTTACAATTTCATCCCTAAAACCTTGTCTTAATAAAAGCTTGTGAAATGATGAATGTGTAATCATTTAAAAATTTATTAAATATAAATTTATAAAATGATTGGAATTATATTAAATTCATTAATATATTAGTCCAAATAAATATTATGGATTAATATAATTGAGTTAATTATTTAAATTCAATAAATATGAATTTAATTATGGCCCGCTCCATAAAGCCCATATGCCATGTCACTTAAATCTAATTGGCCGAAAGGAGTCCTCTTCTAATCACAAATCCTCTATTTTAAAACTATAAATAGGGGTCTTCAGAATTCAGAAAAAGGGGGACCAAGAATTTTAACAAGAAGCTAGAGAAAGCTCGTGGATCAAAAGCTGCAGATTTCTCTACAAGTTCAAGAGTTCAAGAATTCAAGCATTCAATATTCAAGAACGTTCAAGTCTCAAGAACAATCAAGATCAAGACCGCCGGATTCAAGATCAAGCTCGAAGCCCTTGGATTCAACTAGAAGTCAAGATCAAAATAAAGTTCAAGTCCAAGATCAAGATCAAGATAGAGATCAAGATCAAGATAAATCTCAAGTTCAAGATCAAGCTCAAGAGCCCTTGAATTATATTTGAAAAGGCGAATTCAGAGGAATAGTAGAGATTGTAACACTCGCACTTAAATCAATAAAACGATTGTTGCTATAATTTTCCGTTCTTGATTATTGTTTTCTCGACGCGAATTTTATTGTCTACAAATTCTGGCACGCCCAGTGGGACAATCTCTACCTCTCATCTCAACTTTTCAAGCATCAAAGAATATCGAGATGACTTCTATGAAGAACAACTCCCGATCAACTGCCTCTAAGGCTACTACCTCTAAGTTCTCTAATGAAGTTGAAGGCATTTTGGGTGTTACCTTTGGAAGTTTCGGAGCTGTTACGAGAAGCAAGGCTGCTACACTAGGACAACAAACACTTCAAGTGTCATCCGCATCAACTCCAGTTTTTGGGTCTACTACTCCAAAAATATCGAGTTTCTCCGCAAACGCTTTAGAAGGAGGAAGCAGTGTTGCTGAAAAGATCAAGAAAACATTGGCTCTCCTTGAGCAATCTGGTTCCAAGAACTCTACCATAAGGGAGAGCTATGATTCAACGAGTGAGTCACCTCCACGTGCATCGCGTAATGTGAGTCCACTGAAGATCAACTTACGCGACAATCCATGCTACTCTCCTACATCTCCAATGATCATGCAAACAATGGTGGCTGCTGCTTCTTCCTCTGAGGAACAACTCGCAAATCTGACGAAGTTGGTTGAAGGATTGACAAAGCATGTACAACACCAAGAGTCTAGAATCAATAAGTTGATAGATCGAATGGAAGGACTTTTAAATGGAGAAGCGAGTCATGCGCCCGGAAAATGTGTTGAAGTTCAAGAGATTGGAGATCCTGCAAAGAAAGCACCGATTGTTAATGAGATGCCAGTTTCTTCTGAAGGAATGATCCCACTCGATCGCTTGAAGGAGTTCATTGAAGGCACTATCAAAGATAAGTATGAAGTCTCCACCAAGTCTTCTCATATGTATGCCAAGCCATACACTGCAAGAATTGATAACTTAAAAATGCCTGCTGGTTATCAACCCCCCAAATTTCAACAATTTGAGGGTAGAGGAAATCCAAAGGAACATGTTGCACACTTTGTGGAGACATGTAATAATGCTGGAACATATGGAGACTATCTTGTCTAGCAGTTTGTCCGGTCTCTAAAAGGAAATGCCTTTGATTGGTACACAGATCTTGAGCCCAATTCTATTGATAGTTGGGATCAACTAGAGCACAAGTTTCTCAATCGATTCTATAGCACGAGGCGTACTGTAAGCATGGTAGAACTTACGAATACTCAAAGGAAGGATGAACCAGCCATAGACTTCATAAATCGATGGAGGAACGCGAGCCTGAATTGCAAGGATAGGCTTAGTGAAGCTTCTGCAATAGAAATGTGTATCCAAGGGATGCACTGGGAGCTTCTTTATATCTTACAAGGAATAAAACCAAAATCCTTTGAAGATCTAGCTACTCGTGCTCATGATATGGAGTTGAGCATGTCCTCTGCTGGAAAGGATATGACGTTTGTCCATGACCCTCGCAAAGGAAGAGACAAGTAGGAACCTAAGAGATGAAGCAAATTTGTGCCCAAGAACGACAACAAAGAGTCAATGAATGTTAATGTGTCACCTGTAAAGTTCACTACGAAGAAAGGGAAGAAGCAAAGTGTGAGAACAAGTTCTCAAGCGCGTTCAGACCAAAAATCAATCCTAAGGGAAATGCAAGAAAAGGAATACCCCTTCTTGGATTCTGATGTTTCTGATATTTTCGATGAGTTGCTTGAATTAAAGCTCATTGAGTTGCCAGAGATGAAGCGGCCTGATGAAGCTGGAAAAGTTGATGACCCAAATTATTGCAAATATCATAGACTTGTGAGTCATTCTCTTGAAAAATGTTTGTCTTCAAGGATAGAGTGATGCGATTGGTTAGAGAAAAGAAGATTGTCCTTGATGATGAGAAAGCTAGTTCTAATCAAATCTCCATCACATTCGGCTCGCTCGATCTGATCCAAATACATATCGCTAAAAAGCATGAAGAAGAGTCATTGGAGCTAGATAAATCTCAAGTTGATATAGATGGTGATGAAGGCTGGATTCTTGTGACTAGGCGAAGACGCAACAAGTCAAGCTTACAAAAAGAATCATGTGAGCAACCAAGTAGAAGAAAATGGTGAAGAAACCTGTAACACCCCGTATCCGAAACAGACCAAAAAATGCAGATTTTGAGAAGTTGCAGGTGCAACCCACGGTGGCCATCTACGGACCGTAGGTCAGACCACGGTCCGTGCTGGTGGTCCGTGGTTCGCCACTACAACCCCTCCCCAGCCAGCTCAGAAAATTGGTTAAGTCTCGACTCACGGACAGACCCACGGTCCGTAGATCAGACCACGGTCCGTGGTCTATGTCCGTGGATCAAGACCTCCTTTACCCAGCCTCTGACATGAACTACGGTTGACCAGCACGGACCGTCGTTCGATCCACGGTCCGTAGGTCTGACCGTAGATCGAAGGATAGCAGCAAGTTAGCTGAAAATTCTGATGGGTCAACTTCATATGGTCATAACTTTTAGCACAAAATGAATTATGTGTCCCATGACCTATGGTTAGATAGATAATTGAATTATCTTTCCAAGGCCACCGAGTTTGCTAAATTCTGACCTCCGAGTAAAAAGTTATACCCATTTTAGTGAAGCCCTGTCGGGCAGACTCGAACTACGGACCCAATCTACGGACCGTAGATTGACCTACGGCCCGTAGGTCCAAACCGTCGGTCACTCCGACAGCAGTTAATTCAGGGGTCTTTTGGTCTTTTCCTATTTCGTTTAACCCCTAAGATACGTCGTTTAGACCCTAAATCATGAGATTTTAATTAGTTTAAGCCTAGAAACATAACTAGAACTTACCTAAGTCAAATCATTAATCAAACTTAGAAGAATTAGAAGCAAGAGAGGAGAAAAAGGTCAAGAACCCTAGTTCAAGAACGCAGCGAGGTTTCTTCAGTTCCAGCCCCGAAATCGAAAGATTTCTCCATGGAATTCGTCACCAGGTATGTGGGATTTCACTAGTGGGTTCCTTTCGCCCATTAGGTCCCTAGAATTCAGTCAGATTCTTAATTCCATGATTATGAATAGACCTAGGGTTTCTAGAATTTGAACAGATCATCATGAGTTAGTTATTTAAATGTTCCAAATCAAATTATCATGTTATTGCTCAGTTTATCGCATGAATTTCAGAACCCTAGCTATGTATTTCTTTAGTTCTTGAATTACACATGCTAGGTCAGATATTTCAGTATTCAGTTTTACATGCCTCAGTTTATGAATGCATCATTATCAGATTAATTGTTACATTCTCAGTTTGCATGTTCAGTTCGAGCTATCCAGTATTTACAGAAATTCAGTCATAACCAGTTAACTACTTTATTCATTGGGAGTAGCATAATACCGAGTTGGATTAGGGTTTCAGCGTACCCATATAGTCCCAGAACTACGAGCCACGTAGGTGTAAGTCCCCTCTGTGGGCAACATCAGTTTAGTGATCACGCCAGCATGTCTCTATACCTCTGGCAGGGTATATTGGGTCCTCTCGATGGGGCGTATACATCGGACTCCACATTTAGCTCATGTGGTTTTATGTCGGTTATTAGTAGCTCCCACAGTTCAGTCAGACTCTATTGCATTGACCATATTTCAGTACAGTCAGTATTCAGTCTCAGCATGTTATAAATTTGGTCATTGCATCAGTTAGCTCAGTATTCAGTATTTTCAGTATCTATATCATGTCTAGATGATTTCATTGCTTTATTGCTTTGTTCAGTTATATGTTCTTTCAGCTCTACTCCATCTTGCATGCTCAGTACCTTTCAAGTACTGACGCATACGTGCGCTACATCTTCTCGTGATGTAGGTTCAGGTTCTCAGTATCCAGATCACGTTTAGATCGGTTCCCGATCTCCAGTTCAGCAGAATCAGTGGTGAGTCCTCATTCTCCGAGGACAATAGTCATGAGTTTCTTTTCAATATTTTTAGTCTTTAGTTTCAGTTTTGCTAGATCTAGTTGGGGCATGTCCCAACATTTCTAGTCAGTTTAGAGGCTTATTTCAGACATAGATAGATTCAGCTTAGTATTGAGTTAATAACTTCTTTGTATTAAACTCATCAGTTTTCATATATCTCAGTTATAGTATATGGGTATTCCCCATCTTTTCATCTTATTTATGATTTAGCTTCCGCACAGTTTCTATTATTCAGATTGTATTTAGTATGCTCATGATCATGCCAGCAGGGTTAGCTTGGGATCACTTGTGGTCCTAGGTCCCGTGTCCGCGTCTTGGGGGTAGCTCGGGGCGTGACAAAACCGGTGAAGCAGAAATCAATCAAGCGCCCAAAGAAGGCGAAGGTAGAAGTGCATCACTACCAGAAACCCCGACATCCTGTAACTCTAGAAGAATTCTTACCAAGTTGGTTGCGCACAAAGT